TTTAATCGCTGTTAAATAGTTCTAGTGATTTAATCGCTTATTTAAACGAAATTTATTCGAAAATTCAAGGCTTTTGATTGTGCATATTATAATGAGGGAAATAATCGTAAGTAATATCATAAGGGCATTTAATTTTTCCGAAAAGAATCGAAAAAATACGTTGCTAAGTAATATTTTAACAAAAAGCATGAGTGCTGTTGGCAACAAAAATCCGAGTCAAAGAGGAGGATTTTTGCACCTGCACGAATGCATTTTGTTAAAAAATATTACTTAGCATTGTGTTTTTTCGATTTTTTTCACAGGAAAAATTTGATGCCCGAATGGTATTTGACAAGACTATTTCATGAGTAACAGTTAACAATTAAAATATAAATTGCAATTTTTGGTGACAACAGCTGTCAAGTTTTGCCGCGGGTAAACTCGAATAAACTGCTGACAGGTGCTGTCACACAGTTTTTTTACCTAGAAACCATTTGTAATTCAAAATTGCGCGTTTGTGATTGGTGGAAATTAAGACGAGGGAAATAGTCAGTGATAAAAAAACTTTAAAGAAAACAAAAAAAACAATCTAAACAATATAATAACTACAACTGGTTTTTAGTGACTTACTCTCTAAAATTGAATTAGTCAAAAATGACTAGTTTTAAAAGTAAAAAAGCAGTCACTAATAACTTTAGTCCACAGCAATTTGTATCCCGGACAGTTAACAGCTTGTTATTTTGTAAAATTATGAAAGTAAAGCAGTTTTTAAGATATTGTCAATTCCATATTATATGAATAATTTACTAAATCTCAAAAACGTGCTACTTTTATAACTTTTGACGACATTTTCGGATTCAGCAGACAATTTTACATATGAGTTGACGATAATTATTAGTCGCTGCTTTTTTCGCTAAAGCAATTAGACTAATGGAATTAGTCATTTTTGACCAATTCGATTTTAGAGAGTAAGCTCGTTACAAAGTCATGTACTGTGTAGACTACTGTTAAACTTTGCTACCGTCAACTGCAACTATTAAACAAATACTAAAAATATTATGACCATTTGTCTCCTTTTATTTTGATCCTCATAAATATAAAAAAAAATAAGCCGCCAATATCAAAGAGGCAAAAGGCGCTTTATATAAAAAAAGGGCGGTAACCTTTATCCTATGTATGTTTAAGTATTATATGCAAGAAAGTATATCGTTACAAAGTACTGATTGACTCTTTGATTTTGCGCCCCCAAAATGTTGCGCCTGCGTGCATGCACGCACTGCACGCTCTCCAGGAACGGGCCTGAAAATAATTTATTATTTACATTTTCCTTTGAAGTGGTTTTCGCTACATTAAAGTTTTTTTCCACTTTACGGTTGTTTTGGTTAGTACCATAAACGTTCCAAATACTAAAATAATAACTTTTAAGTTATTAACTTTGTAGTTTTTAACTCATGTTCCAGTTTCGAGATTTTAACTTGCAAAGGGACTACAAAGTAAAAATAATTATAATGTAATCTTTAGGTAGCAACCGAAAGTAACTGCTACAAATTAAATTTACTTGAAAGTTTTTATTACTTAAAACACCTTTTTTAAAGTTGCAAAGTCTTCTTGGGGGCAACCAAGTTTTACTTAAATGTTTATTACTTTATAGTAACCATTTAAGGAAAAATTAAGTTTCTGTTACAAAATATTGCTATTTAAAAGTTAGAATTACTTGTAAGTAAAAATTAAAGTAGCTGTTTAGTATACTTAACTAATTTAAAGTTATCACCACTTTGCCAATGGTTTTTGGAACCAAAAATGCTGCTTGGGTAGGTACCTTTATATTTGACAATATCGAAAATTCTTATTGAAAAAACTTGATCAGAACTAAAAACTACGTTCAAATATGCAATTACTTCCATTTACAAGAAACAAATATTTTTTTCTTTTTTCTTTACAATAACAATGCAAATGTAAAGTTCTTTAGTTACCTACATGTAATCTAGAATGCACTGAAAAACAAATAATTTGTTGATAGCAAGAAATGTTGGACATTTAATGTCAATACCTAAGAATTTGCTTAAAACTTTCTGAACGGAACGGAAAGGTTATCATGTTTGTAATAAATAAAAAAGATAAATGTTCGGTATCGCTAATTTGAGAAAAATTAGTAAAAATTTATAAATAATTTATATATAATTGCATATTAAAACATAGTTTTTCATTTCGAACAACTTTTCATAATTACAGTTTTCCATGTTTTCACAAATAACAAATACTCTTGTCAGAGGCGGATTAAATGTCGAGAGCGCCCTAGGCAAGCACCTCATCGGCGCCCCTCTAGCGGCCATATATTTTCTATTACTTATATAATAATTAGCTGCGCCCCACGGTTTCACCCGCGTGATGCCACATCTCGTGGAAATTTCGGGATAAATGTGTAAATCTCGGTCTAAAGCTATGTACATAGCAGGTTTCATCACAATCGGTTCAGTAGTTTTTTGCACGAAGAACACACACACACACCCGTGTGGCGATGTAGGAATAATCAAGAAGGCGGAACACACTTCGGAAGCTTTACATCCTTATAGAATTAACTAATCTTTATGTTTTTATTTTAATTTTATGTTAATTATTGTCTTTGCTTAAAAACTTACGTGCGCGCGCCCTTTTGTAACCTCGCGCCCCTAGGCACGTGCCTAGTTTGCCTTATGGATAATCCGCCTCTGACTCTTGTACCAAATTCATATTTTTTTGTCAAACCTCGTATATGAAATTTGATATACATATAATATATAAAATTTCATATTGGAGGTTTAACAAAAAATATGAAATTGGTAGGTACAGAAGTTACAAATACTGTATTTGTTATTTGTGAAAACATCGAAAACTGTAATTATGAAAAGTTGTTCAAAATGAAAAACTATGTTGATGATTTTATTTTAGATTTTAGAACATGCAGAACTTTTTATAAAGAATAACTTTTCTTCGTAAAATTAATAATAAGAAAGTTTTCCATATGTTGCCAACTCAAGTAGACACACTGTATATAGAAGCTGTTTTTCACAGTAAAAGAAAAGGAAATGTTTATGGGCACTGTACGCAAAATTTTTAACGCTTTATCGGTTAAATCTAGTTAACTGCACTACTACGGCGAAATCAAAAGCTCAGTACAAAAACGTTCATATAATATTTTCAAATATTGGTGTCTTTTGTATTTTTGTATTGAGATAGTCATGACTTTATTTTAACGATTGTACGACATTTGACAACTGTCAACTAACTTAAAACCAATTTAGCCCGTGACTAAAAACATATGTTGCTAACTTCAGCTCGTGACTAAAGCGCCATAAAGCCACAACTTGTCAGTATCATGGAAACATGTAAGATAATGGGCGTTTTAAAGGTGGGAGTAGAAAAAATACTTTTTAATAGTTTAATTTTTGAAAAATACCTACTCAAAATAATTTTTATAATTATTTATTCCAATTTCGCGTTTTAAATATCAAATTAAACCATTTTTATAATATTTCTAACAAAAGTATAATAAACTAAAAAAGCATAAATAAACAAATTGTTCAAGAATAATCATAACACTTAAATTTTTATCTTTTTAACTTAAATGTTCCTAGAGCCTCCTAAGACATTCTAAAGATAATAATAATAAAAATAAAGCTCCCAAAGAATATTTTAAACTTGAGGTGTACCCGAAAACCAAGTTTTCATTTCAACAAAGGTTATAAGAGCGCCTTAAATTCAATATGTCTCGCGAGAATGGCCCAAAGTGTTGCCATTTTTAAATATTTGGTAATAATAATTTATTGTATTATCCTGACATACATATTTGAAGACGTGCGTTTGTTTTTTTGCTTTCTAAACGTAGACTTACCTGTACTTTATTTTGTTTTTCCTATGCGTTTCTTTAATTTGCGAAGTTGCCAAATTTACAAAAATTACCTAAATCTGGGATTTCTAAAAACCTCAGAATTTTTTAAAATCTTCAGGATACCTTCACTAAGTTATCTTGCAATATTTAAAGTTTTGCCAAATTTCCAAAAATTACAAGAACCTCGGAATTTTTTAAAATCTTATTACATTTTATAAACAAAATTATAAAGGTTATAAATCGAAATGTATCTTGAAAATTGACAGTTTTTCACAGTGAAAGTAAAGGAAATGTTTTATGAGGACTTTACAGTGAAGTCCGTGCCCGAATTTAAGTTATAATTTACTGCCGGCGAAATTAAAAGGTCAGTACAATGTTCATATAAACTTTTCAAATATTGGCGTTAAGAAACTATTTAATATTTATGTATTTTTGTATTGAGATAATAAAATAATTTTCACATTTAGTATTATTTTACAAGAAAGGCACTTTATTTTAACGATTGTATGACATTTGACAACTGTCAACTAACTTAAAACTAACTTCAGCCCGTGACTAAAAACCTGTTGCTAACTTCAGCCCGTCATTAAAGCGCCGTAAAGCCACAACTTGTCAATGTGAATTTAAAAGATCACTTAGTGTCATGGAAACATGTACGATAAAGGGCGTTTTAAAGGTGGGAGTAGAAAAAATATTTTATTATTTTATTGTCTTCAATGAGCTAGTGCTTTATCTAGTTGACATCCTACAGCTTTGTTGATTTTTTTTTCAAAATTAGCAAATACTGTTTGTATAACTTTTAAATTTGTAAAATGCTTTGACAATGTTTTTTATATGTCACTGTCTGCTATTTTTTATCAGTAATATTTTACAAAACACTTAAATAGTCAATAAGTTCTTTATAAGAACCTGAAAAATTGACGCCATTAAATTTTGAAAAATGACAGGTTACATGGTAACCATTTATACCGTCAACTCACCCGTCACAGGTTTCTTGATACAAAATAATATTTAAAATTTTAGAAATTGTTATTATCTCTGAAACTATTAACTTAAGGTACTTACCTATAGGTATGCCTAGTAACTTTCTTAAATATTATCTTTTCTTTTATACAAAAAGCGCTTGGTTATTCCCTACAGTGCCCTTATTAAAATTAAAGGGTAATTTGTTCATTGTTGATTTGGACTTACCTAGGTAAAGTTGATTTAAATAAAAATTCAGTTATTTCAACGATATTTATTTATCTTGTCTTTGGTTTAGAATTTAAAAATGATAGTTTGAAATATCTTAAAAGTCTATACAAAAACAACAAATTTAAAATAATTCTATGAATACAGTTTACTACTATTTCATTTAATTTTTTGATTCAAGACATATACCTATATAATTTTTTCTTAAAACATTTTAATTTACAAAAAATAATAGAATTTCTATATTTATGTAATAGGCAAAATTTAGAATGTTTACATAAGATGTGTTTTTTACACAACCTCAAAGTTTCTGGAGAAAAATATTTTTCGGTATTATATTATATATTTTTTCATAATATACTTATTATTTCTGCTAAAAATGAGTTTTAAAATAAAAAACGGTATTGGTAGAATGTTTAGTATTTTGGTACTTAAAAATAAACTTTTCTTTAGAAACTTCGAGTAGGTACTTACTAAGATCTTTTATTGAACAAGAATTCTGCTTAAATATATTTAGTTTCTATTAAACAACGATCCTAAAAACAAGGACAGAATATTAAATAGGGACACATTCTTACTTTTAAACCATCTTCTTTTGCAATGTCCCCATTTATTATTATTATCATTGCAGAAAACATCTAGGTACTATCTAAATCTAGACTTATACAACAAGTCCATAAAATATTCATTGTATTATAACAAATTATAATACAGACTAGTAGGTTAAATTTTAAATAATAAGAACTGTTTTTTAGATTTTTAAATCGAATCAAACTATCACATTGCTAAGTTTTTATGATTATCTGAGATAATTTACAATAAAATAGTTGTTCCAATATAAATATATTTTTTACTCATTTGTGTTTTTTATTAATTAAAATGTAATTTGTTTATTTTAATTGAAAGTTGTTATTAGGAACATTTAATTTATAAAACAATTCACATTTTACCAAATTATTCTGACATTTCATTTTATTTTTTAACACATCTGACATTTTACTAAGAAACCAAGTAGGTACCTTTCAAACGTCAAAACTGACTAATGACGTCACAAAATGGTGGATTTTGATGTCAGCGCTAAATAATAAAAAGGAAGGTCCCAATAATTTGTTTATCCTGTAGGAAACATTTTTAAAAATAAATAAAATTTAATTAATACATAGTTAAAATTATCACAATATTTCAGCTCTTAAATAGAAATAGATTAAAGTAAAATTTGCATTAGTTAAAACAAAAGATGGTTTTGTGCGGTAAAGGAAGCGATTTTACCGCACAAATGCATCCGTAAGACTTAAAATTATAAACAAATTAACAATATAGATACAAATATTTCGGCACACAAACATACAAAATAAAATAAGGAAAATATCAAGTTTGGTTTAAATAACCATGGGTGGGATATTAGGATTGATTAAAAAAATCGCGTATAATTATATAAATTTTGTTTGCTTGTGTACAAATTGATATACGCTTAATGAACGTCTTGTACTACATATTCAATTCTCAGCATTGCGGTTTTGACAGTCTTCATTGGATTTGACTCTCGATATAACTATACATACTGGACCCCTTACTATTCGAAGTAAATCTATTATTTCATTGGTTGTCATATTTTCTACGCTTTCATCATTCACCTAAAAAATGTCAATTTTTTTAAATTTCAAAAATTTTTGATCTGCTTAGCTGAAAATAATGTGTGATATAATATTTGTGAAACCAAAAACGTTGCTTTTTTACTCGAAAAATGTCCATAAGGCGATATTATTAACTTTATTGAAATGAAGTTTTGCCCTTAAAAGTTCTTTTACTTTAGAATCTGATATTATTTTTTACATGATATTACAGGGTTGCCACTCATTTGGAAAACCTGGAAATGTCAGGGAATTATTTAGTCGGTCAGGGAATTGGTTATTTATAAATAAAACTGGTCAACAAAATTTTCATTCAAAAAAAAAAAAATTTAATTTAATTTATTCAAAATATGGCAGCGCTATATGTCAAACTAATCATTATAACCTTCTAAGACTATAACCAACTATTTTTATGTTTAGGGTGATTTATATTTGTTTATTTTGTAAATGGTAAGCATAATTAATAAACTAATTAATTAATCAGTAAAAGCATAATTAATAAATGAATTAATTAATCAGTAAAAGACTTTGAAAAATCATAGTTCCTGTTGACAAAAAACGGTTTCAAGCCAAATGTTTGATTTGCAAGCAGTCATAGGACCCATAAAAAGTGCGGGCCATTAAAAAAGGATATCGGCAACGAAGAACACAAATTTGTCAAATTTTCTTAAAAAAAAAGAACCAGATGAAAAATACTACTCTCTAAAAATGAATTAGTTAAAAATGACTAATTGTCAAAGCGAAAAAGCAGCCACTAATAATTCTAGTCAACAGCAATTTGTATCCCGGATATTAAGCAGTCAAAAGTTATAAAAGTAGGACAGTTTTTAAGGTTTATTCAATTTTCCATATAATATGGAATTGACTATATCTCAAAAATTGGTATGACGGTCTTTTCGGATTCAGGGGACAATTTTACATGATAATTGGCTGTTAAATGTCAGGGATACAAATTGCTGTGGACTACAGTTATTAGTGACTGCAGTGAATTAGTCAAAAATGACATATTTCAAAGTGAAAAATCAAATAAAATCTTTTTTTTTTTGTACTATCAAATATTTACTGATAAGAACCCATCTTGATAAACAAGACCTGCCGCAGACAAAATTTCAGAGGCATTTTTAAGAATTTCATTATTTCTGTTATTTTCAGATTGAACAGAAAATGAATGTAATAAAAACCCAAGAAACAAAACCCTAAATTAAAAATTATCCCGAAAAAATTAGCTGCAGAAAATTTGTTTGTTTATTTATTTTTTTAATAAGAAGTATCAGTGGCGGCTCGTGGCAGTAAAATTTGTGAGTTCTGCCAGTGGGGTTTAAAAAAATGTGGCGCAGTACCATTTAATTAAATGGTACCTACAGTTAATTAATTAAATCATAATTAAATCATACACCAAATTCATTCTTACAAAAGAATACAACAACAAACACAAAAATACACCGAATTAACAGTCTTCTAGTTAAAATAACAAACGTGAACGCGAAGCGAAAAACAAACGACCGGGAATTAGGAACTGTATGTTGGTGCAGCTCCGGTTTGGCTTAAATTACGCTATCTCAACCCAGGACCAAGAGAGGCGCGGAGCAAAATTACGGTATTGAAATGGGAGCCAGAACTCGAATGTGGCCCAGCTTTGTTGTGTTGTAAGCGTTAAGCGTTAGAGACCTTTACCGGTCGTTTGGATGACTGTAGTGGCCAAGTACGGCGAATGTTTATAATAAAAACTTTTTATGCAGCCATGCGTTTGAAATATTCATGCTTATATTCGCACTTAAATATTAAATAATTAAAAAATTAGTCAAGTAATAAGAAAATTTTGGGAGTTCTGCAGCTCTGCAGCCCTTATGCACTAGCCGCCCCTGAGAAGTATTGATTTTTTTGTTAATGTTTTTGAACTTCAATAAAAGTTTAGTTTTTTAATTAATCGTTATAATTTCCCACCAAGAGTAAAATAAATTCAAGTATTACATAAGCTTGATTGCTTTGATTTTTTTTGTATATTTTTAATGATAAGATTTATTTTGCTGACAAAGGGAATGGGGGTTAAAAATTACAAAAATACTGCTTACGTAATACTTGAATGGCCCCATACTTAAAATTTTAAAAACTAACACTCAAAGTTCAGTTGAAAAAATCATTGAGGATCCGGAAACCAAAAAGAAAACCCATTTTGTCTGGAAAAAAAGGTCAGGGAATTCCTGGAAAAGTAAGGGAATTTGGTTTAGACCAATCGGTGGCAACCCTGTATTATATAATAAATAACAAGTAAATTATCAATAATAAATATTATTGTCAATTTGACAGTGTCAGAGTATTTAAGTAAGGTCTTCAGCAGAAGTACCATTTTTTAAGTACTAAAAAACCCGATTCCAAATAAAAAAAATGAACAGTATAAATTTTGATATTACCTTGATGATTCTATCGCCTGGTTTGATTCTGCCATCCCTGGCAGCTACGCTATCCGCATGGACTGCACTGACATAAGTGACACCTGCAGCTCCTTGAAGGCTGAAACCCAATCGGCTGTTCCAGCCCCTGTTCAATTCAATGGCCAGCACCTGTGAGATTAACGATAAATTAATGTGCCGCGTTTTTTATTGTGGTTGCGGTGGTGCATAGTCGCACCAAATCTGTATGACGTCATCAATGAACAATCTTAAATTTGCTTTTTAGGGATTTTTAGGGTTCAATGCAACATAACTTTTATGTTATATAAACTTTTTGCATTAATTTTAGTTAGTTTTATCAGATGTTATGCCACAACAGAACTGAAATAATAAACTTTAAAAGTAATTTAAAAAACACTACTTTACAAAATCGAAAAAAAATTCTGCCCACCATATCCCATTATAATTTTCCCATGTATTGTGACCCACTAAACACGAAAATCACACTCTATTTTTTTATGGAAGCGTTTTTGAGATATGATTTTTCAATTGTGTTTTTTTTTTCAATTTTTGGAGGTGTTTTGACGTTTTTGAGTATAGCTTGAAATCTAATTGATCGATTTGGCCAAACAAGCCCTTAAATTGAAGGAATTTGAGCCCTCTAAAACTTTCTTAAGAAAAGCATATAGAATTCTATATGCTTTTGATATCGGATTTTTATGGCAAAAATTGAGGTCGAAAATTTACATATCATCCTGGGAAAGGTTTTAATCAAAAAGACAACTCCAGTTTGATTTTTTTTCGTAAAGCTGACATTTTTACAACAAAAACAAGCTAATGTTGATAAAAATCCATGGATAAATGGCGTAGTGAGATATGGTGGACAAAATGGCTGTAAACTAGTATTATTATTGTTATTTTTTATTCATTACTTTATTTTCTATATTTGTCACTGTGATATTTGTAAATAATTTTTATAATAAACTTAAGTTCTTTTACATTAGTTGTTTTTCTTACGACCTAAGCCAAGCTAAAAAAAACCATAATATAATTAAACAACAATGTAGTTGGGACATTTTGTTAGATGGCGCTTAAAATAAGACGAAGCACATACTTCCACACATATGCAAATCATTTCTAACTGAGGCTGTTTCCATTTCGTGGGGTTAAAGTAGGTAGGGGAAATGTTCTCACACGGTAGCAAGCATTGAGGCGCATGCGTCAGCTGCATTGCCGGTTTAAAAAAAATAACATATTTTTTAATAAATTGTATATAAATTGTATGAAAAAAAGGATTTAACAATAATAAACTCACAAAATGATGATATTTTAGATTTTATAATTGCATATTTATAAAAGCAAGAATTTGGCAACATCGTATTTTGATCACGATTATCGTATCATAGCCAAAAGGTTTTTATGATAGACATAAATATGTAGATGGTTATTATAATTTTGTTTGTTTTCTGTTGTATACCAATTGTTTTGGCATTTTTGTTTTTACGAAATTTTTAGTGGATTTTACATAATATGCATATTATGCCACTTTTTGCTTTTTATAAAGCCAAATCGCAGAAATGTTTGTAAGCTTAACCCAGGCCATGTAAGCAAATGATTTAGAAAAATTGGATATAACCTAAATTCTATTTAGTTAACAATTCGTATTCGTAGACGTATCCAGTACCGTCTTGATGCTCGAAGAGGTCGGATGCGTCAAGATCCCTCCTAAGTGGCGTATACGGTACAAACGTAAAATACCAAAAACGAAACAAAGTATCCGGAAATGTCGGTGATCGTTAATGAATAATAAATAAATACATAAATAAACAATCAAGTGCAAGAAGTGCGAAAATTGTGAGATAACGCCGTAAAAGTGAGCAAGTGAATAAGTGCCTAATTGAGGCTGGGCAGCAACGATAAGTCAACCGGCGCACCTGGATCGGAGCGTTCCAAAAATGTCCTTTTTCTATGCAAAAACCTACAGGAGAAGGCCACCCCGCGAAAGACAAAGCATCAGGTTTATAGCCTAATAATCAAGCTAAGTAATTCTTCTAATTGCATGTCTTACCGTATAATCGTTAAATGTTTATATAAGCATTTCACAATGTTGCAAAAAAATCTAAGAAATCTATTCGTCTTAAAAATTAAATTTAAAAAATAATATGAACATTTCCGTAACTGTTAAATAAACAACCTAACTTTCTCATAGTAGACAAACGTAAACAACCAGCGTAAAAGGCGTAAGCAAATAAACCAATTCAAGCAAGAAGACAAAAATTTATCATAAATAAATTTAGGGTCACACGGCAGATCCCATGGGCTGCAGCAAGCATTTTCCGTTGCTTGTCTCCATTAACATTGCCCGTATTCATTTCATTAAACATAACATTTATTTTACTTGAAAATGTTAAAATAACTTTAAGATATGATTATGTTTAGAACATATTTTACTCTTTAAACAATTGTTTTGTTTTTAAGTACTATCATTGCAAAATTGTATTAAAAAGTGTTAAAAATTCTTACACGGACAATGCTAATGGTGATAGGTATCGTTAAAGTGTTTATTGGGATATCTTTAAAACCTGCGAAGGGCGCGCGGCGTGGGGCAATAAGTCTGTCAACGGCAAGTGCGTAAAGCGGTCCCAATCGAGACCGAAAATAAACATTGGACTGACAGAGTAAACTAACATTGATCACATAATTCTAACACATTAAAAAAAGGGCCTAATAGCCAAACTCGAGATTTGTAAACATTAGACGACAGAATGATCGCGCTTGTGATTTGTTGGACTAGCGAATAAATCCAATGCCTTGGAATTTGATAAACAAAGACGGAACTCTACCACAAAACGTGCTTGGGACAAAAATTATTAAAAACAACTGACACACTTTACCAAGGGCAGGAGCTATCTGACCAGGACACGGACAATGACAATAACGAACAAGACAAAGACCTCGACTACACCCCTGCAGCGAAATAACAACTCCCCAACTCCAAATAGTAATCCCAAATGTTTGGAGTAAAACTAATCGACTGGTCTAGGGGGATTCCGCGTCGTACTTAGTTTTAAGTCGGCGTAATTGTCCCCCAAAAACCAACTCCCTCCCGTCCCTCATCCACACCCCACCGAGCGTATAGCATAGGCTCGGCGAACCCGGGAATGGCTATTAAAACTATTCGCCTCTCGCTCTCGAGCCCCAAATAGGGGACAGTACGAAACGCAATGGACATTCGCACCCAGCAAACACGGGTGAAGCCGTGCAGTTGCTGGGGAAGAACAAAAATCGGCGCAAGTAAACATAGGCCTGTACGGGGTTCGAGAGTCAAGAGGAAATGGGGCTGGTTATACGTCTCTTATACTCACTCATACTCATACTCAATTCGTATTCGTAGACGTATTAATTTCTCTTATGTTATGTGATGTCTATGGTATCATATATTTTAAATCCCCCATTTATGAACTGACTATGCGCATAAAGAAAAATGGCACACCAAAACAACAAATGTTCCCTCTTAATAAGCGGTATACAGTGCTTGCAAATCCAAGTCCAACCGGGTTGGGAAGGACGCTTGTTCAATACCTGCGTGAAAAGAACAAGGATAGAACGCCAAACAGAATTTGATTGGTCAGAGCCTTGTTATTTTCACGCGTCCTTCCCAACCCGGTCGGACTTGGATTTGCAAGCACTGTAAGTGTGGAAGTATGTGAGACCAAGAGAGAAAGCTTTCTTTAACCTTCTGTATCTCTGACCATACCTGGTACTCTTCCGGCATTTTCTTCCTCCTGACGGTTCCGCGGTGCTCGCCGTCGAGCGGCACGCCCTTCCACTTCCGCACGGCGCCGTTGTCGTCCTTGCTGGCGGCCGCCTGCTTCCCAACCCTGTCGTCGCAATGAGGGTGCGCGGTCTGGTAGGCCGGATTCTTGTAGCTGAACGCGGAGGTGTCGAGCGCGATGTGCGGCATGCTGGCCGGCTCGCGCGGGCACTCGACCTCGGCGCCCGCCGCCTCGTCCGCCGCGCCCAGGTTGTAGGCGAGGTTGGGCGCGTCGAGCACCTCCGGGTCGAGGTTGTTCAGCTCGTACTGGTTGTGCGCGAGCGAGAAGTTGAAGCGCGGCTTGCGCGCCGCCACCGGCGTCTGGTTCGGGTTGTACAGGTCGAGCGAGCTGGGCCGGTCGGGCTTGTCGCCCTCGCCGTCCGAGTCGACGATGAACAGCGACGGGCAGTCGTCTTCGTCGAAGCAGCCGTGCAGCAGGCCCTCGTGGAACTGCTCTTCGATGCTTTGGTGGTGGGGGGCGTCGGAGGGGTCGGCGACGCGCGAGGCGTCGGAGGGGTGCGGGTTGCGGCGCAGTCTTCGCGGCGACGCGTCCGTTGGCGACAGGGAGCGTCTGTATGGGTCTTGTTGGTTACCCGGGATCAGCTTGCGGACGGCTATGTCGTTCAGCATGTCCACCGCTTCTTGCCTACAAAAACATCGTCACCTCATTACTATTTTAGAGCTATTGATAACAGTGGTAGAAAAGAGCTGTTATTGTCCAAAAACCTCTAAATGGTTCAAACCAGGGCATGAAATCCAAAGGGTAAACCACTTTAAAATCTTAGAGACCAACGTTCAATGTTAGTGGACGTTGTGTTGTGATTTTTTTCAGTCGTTATCATAGATAACAAAGCCTTATCAATAAGAAAAACTTGTGCTTATCAATAAGAAGTTTCTCTAGCGACGCGTTGCGCATGACTACCCTTGTTATTGTTATCCTTAGCCGTTAATTCGTAAGATATTTTTAATTTTAAAAAATCAGTGGTTACCCCTCGATGCAATCTGATCTAGGATGGCTTGATACCAAGATATATCTTGGTATCAAGTCATCATACATACACCTTAAGATAAGTAAGATTTATTTTTAAAACAATTAAGTGGCAGTAGTTTTTTAAAGGTACTTTTCTTTTGTAAACCCAGATTATCTGTGAGATATATAAATAAAAAAAATGTAGGTTAATGTTTTAGGTTAAAGGTCTTGTTTTGTATCTTGTATTCAGTGTTACCAGATTCTGTCAAAAAAGGACCGTACGTTTCGTTCGAATTTACCTTAATTACAAAATGACACAATGAAACAATGCAAATAAATGCAATTATGTCAAGTTGACGTTATTTAATATTGTCCATTGAGTCATTTTTGTAATTAAGGTAAATTCGAACGAAACGTACGGTCTTTTTTTGACAAAATCTGGTAACACTGCTTGTATTTGTTCCATTTACTTCGAAGATAATTGCTATAAGAAGGGAAATTGAATCAAAAAAACATACAAAATACATTCCCATAAAAAAATCTTTAAAAGTGGATCCGGTTACGACTTATAAGTTATAACACTTAAGAGCTGATCCAGGGTGGAAGAAGAAGGTGATATAGCTCCTATCTCTACAGCACAGAAGCAAGCAACTTTTAACAACAAATTATAAGATAACGAAAACCCAAGGAGAGTCTTCTACCCTCCTTAACGAAAATTACATCTTTTCTTACAGCATTATTATAATAATTTGCAGAACGATTGGCAATACTGTAGTATTGCCAACTGTTCTGCCAAAATGCACAGTCGCCACAAACGCACAAAAGTGACGTTGAAATGATTTTATTTGAATTTTAATTAAGCTTAGTGGTTTATTTTTTCCATTGATTAACTTAATCAATGCAATTTTACTAAAAATGGAAAAAGTTTGTTGTGCACCGGGATTAAAACAGGTTTTACTTCAATACGCCATCTATTTAGACTTTTGGCCGCGTTCCGGGATAGAGATGTATCACCTCCTTCTTCCACCCTGAGCTGATCTATCAAAAGAGAAATCAAGTACTTTGAAAGAAACTAAAATAAAATTGGAAAAAACAATATAAATCATAGTTCTTTTTACAGTGTGGAATAAATAAGACAAAACCAGGAAACATAATATATATAAGACAAAATTAAATAAGACAAAACCAAAATCAAATAAGACAAAACCAAAATCAAATAAGACAAAACCAGGAATCATAATATGATCTTTGAAGACAGCCCGTAACAGAAACTCAAACTTTAAGAAATCAAGTACTGCAGTGTAAAATGTAAAATAAAATTTGAAAAACAAAATTAATCAAAATCTTTCTTTTTGCATTGTGCAGGAAATGTGCTGAGACAAGGAAGCTCAAACTGCAGCATGCTGCTGATAATGAAATGGCCCGGGATTGAAACATCCCAAAAGCATTACAAAACCAGCTTATACCATACCATCCCTTGTGGAAATTTTTCTCTGAAAAAGTTTTAATAAGTTAGAAATTCAAAAAAAAAATATTTTTTTTTTCTTACTTGTGGTTTTACTTTTATTGAATTTACAAATACCTACCCCCTATCCTTTCTGAACACCTTGTACTTTTTCTATGACAAATGATTTAAATTAAGTATTCGTATAGAGCGCCATCTATAAAACAATAGGGTAATCTGTGTTACCGTCATATGTCAAATTTGTATGTGTTAAAAACATAGATAATAAATCAAAATGTATCCACGGTGGAGTCCAAGCCCGACTTTAAGTTATATCTTCAGCCCGTGACTAAAAACCTGTTGCCAACTTCACCCCGTGTCTAAAACGCCGTAAAGCCAAAATATTTTACACTAAAAATTAATTTTCTAGGTCTTATACCTCGACTAAAATATTGTGCAATTTAGGAAACCCCCAATTGCATATTCAGAGAATCCTTTTGTTACAGAAATAGACAATAATTAATGTAGTAACTATTGTAAAAAGAAGCGTACATTACAATTTAATGATTACATACCTCAAGTTTGCCTTTCGGGAGAACGAAGTGGTTGGGGTGGTTTCGGTGGGTGAGAGGGCCGCAACGGGAGTCTGGGCGCAATCCCTATACAACCGGAGACTCACTACTTCACCGCATTGCCTTAAATATTGTACCGCTTGCTCGTGGCTCATCGGAGATATCTCCACATCATTAACCTAGTTGGAAGATAATTAGCGTTAGTTTGCTTCATTTGGGATTTAAAAGTTTCCGGCAATACTTCGGCTGTTTCATTAAGAACTATGGGGCGCCGTTTTTCATTTTTTATTCAGGAATTATTTTTATGTGTTAACACTAAAGTGATATCTTCAATTAGATAAAAAATATCACATAAGAATTTTTATTCTGCGAATTAATAATATCATAGCAGATATTTTAAAATTAGATTTAATTTATATGCCAAACTGATATTTTTTATTTAGTTAATTTAAAATATTATCTTATTTTTGTATTTTTTTGCTAAAAACATATTTTTTATTTGCTAAATTAAAAATATCATAGGAGAAATTTTAAATTCCCCAGGTAGCATAAGTTTTGCTACCTGGGTCGATTTGATTAATTTTTAATCAAGCAAATTAAATATGTGTTTAACAAAAAAATACAAATAAAAAAGCATATATTTTAAATTCACCAAATCAAAAATATCCTTTTGACATAGAAATGAAATGAAATTTTTAAATATCTACTATATTATGGTATACAAATGATTATTTCCCTCCTTAAAATATGAACCAATCAAAAGCCTTGAGTTTTTGAATAAATTTCGTTTAAATAAGCGATTAAATCACTAGAACTATTTAACAGCGATTAAATTTTAGCCTCCTTTTGGATTTTTGTTTACGATTTTATGGTGTTATTTACAAGTTTTAACAAACATTTTTTAAAAAACAATAAAAACAAGTTATCTAGTTTACTTATTACATACCTTAAATTATTGATTGGTATTATGTGTTTTTTTATGTATCTCACCGCTGTCCAAGCAGCAGCGCTAAGCATATATAGCAGTAGGGTGAACTATTAAGTGTACTCGCTTCGGCGGTACATATACTAAAATTGGAACGATACAGAGAAGATTAGCATGGCCCCTGCGCAAGGATGACACGCAAAATCGTGAAGCGTTCCACATTTTTTGACAATAATAATATTTAATATTTTAATATTAAAATACATCTATTATTATGTAAAAATTTTAATATTATAAATGTTATAAATAACACATCTGATTTTTGTCAAGGTGGGGTAAGGTTTAATGGAAATACCCTTCAGAATTTTGTAAATCTTAAATAAATATTTAATAAAATTATTTAGGTTAATTTTTTTAGTATATAAAAATAGTGTAGACACATTTAAAATAAAAACAAATATAAAACATTTTCTACCAAAATAGTTTAAAAAGGTAAATTTTTTTATACTCAAAACCATTGATAATTAAAAAATATTGTAAATATAAAATACAAATGTAAGAGTTTAAGTTTAAAATATTGGTTTTTAAAAATTGTAGTTCTAATATTTTATTCTTTAAAATTATTGGTTTAAATTTGTGAAGAGTCATTTAAATAATGGTCGATACATTTTTAATACAAAAATTCTCACATTTATTTAAATGTTAGTTTTAAATTTTAAAGTGGTAATTTTTGGATTAAAAATTTATCGACAATCATTTAAATGACTGTTTACAAATTTAAACCAATAACTTTTATTTTTAACAAATTTAAATTGATACATTTTTTAACAAACATATTCAAGTGTAAACGCCTCGGTTAACGCGCTTTGTAGGTTTCACCGACTAAAAGTCTGCTAAAGCTACGTTTACACTTTTTAAATTAAAAATTATCGACTTACATTTAAATGTAAATTTATAAATTTCGAGTTAAAACTGTATCAATTTAAAATTGTTAAAAATTAAAAGTTTTGGTTTAAATTTGTAAAGAGTCATTTAAATGATAGTCGATACATTTTTAATCCCAAAATTATCACTTTAAAATTTAAAGCTTACATTTAAATGTAATGAGAGAATTTTTGTATCGACTATCATTTAAATTTAAACCGATAATTTTGTAGAATAAAATATTTGTACTAAAAATCATTATTTTTAAGCTTAAATTTTTACAGTTGTATTTTATATTAATAATTTTTTGACTATCAATTGTTTTGAGTTTAAAAAAATTTAACTTTGTAAATTTCTGTTAAAACATCATTAAAGTGGTAAACTTTTATCTTCAACTACTATCTAATAAATTATGACTACTATTCGCAGAATAAAAATTGTTATATGATACTTTTTATCTAATTGAAAATATCACTTGGATAAGAATAATTACCGAATAAAACATAAATGGCGCCCCCATAAATTTATTATTGTACTTAAGTACGATTGAATGTTGATTTTACCGGGAAAAACTTATTTAACAGAAATAAATGTTTAATCCTTACCGCTATGATTTTGTCTCCAGCCCTTATTCTTCCATCTGTCAATGCTGGCTCTCGCACTAGGGCTCTAACGTAGTGCCCCAACGCGCTATCATCCTCCTTTCGCAACGTAAACCCTAACGACCCTTGAACTTTGGTTAACTGAACTTCAAATTCCTGAAAATCAAATTCCCTTGCTGACTGTAGAAAGAACACACTTTAAAAAACAATTCATTCAAATCCCGACAAAAGAACAAGTTTTGTTCGGCGATTACCTACAAACTAATTCATTTGATTTCGCTGAAATAAGGAAGACAATGGGATGGTTTAATCCACTTACGCCCTGATAGTAGTCGTCTTCGGGGGAACTGTAAGCCGTGGGCGGCAGGTGCAGGCTGTTGGGGGCCTCCCGTCGCGGAGGCGGGGGCGGAATTTCCGAAATGGGGCTCACGCAATTCAACACGTCCGGGGGTGGTCGACATACCTTCAGCTCGACCTGATTAGATGCCGTCCTTAATACCTCCAAAGCTTCCTGCAATTATTTTATTTTTCTTTACAATAAATAATAAATTTTTAGGAATGTTGCTGTAACACAACTTTTAAAATTACTAACATAAAATTTTTATTATAACTGCTTTAATGAGGTTGTAACAGCTTTTATAAATCCTTCTCTGACACCTCCATAAAGCCAAATGGTAGTTAAGTGAGCTTTATGGTGTCCTTAGACGAAGAGTTCGATAGGTCTAATTAGCATGCATGTTAGCAGTATTCTTTTTAAATATTTTTGCCGTAGTATATACAATATTGCTTCATTGCTTCATGTGTTTTATACAGTGTTGCCGGATGAATGTTTTATAAGTTCCAGACCAAAAATTACAAAATACTAAAAACCTAGTTATATTCTAAATTTACTAGCGCATTCGCCCTGTTTAAAAAAAATGTATAAAATTAATTAAAAATTTTTATATAAGTAATTAAAAATGTAACAGGATATCCTATATACAGGGTGTCCGGGAAAAGGAGGTCAATCCGTTAACCATATATTCCTTGAGTTAAAACAATATGACTTTCATAATACCATTTTTCAATTTAGAGCTTCATGTTCGATATACAGGGCGACAAAGTTTGAAATTTAAAACAGATTTTTTTTAATAATTCGAGTAATTGATAAGATATTAAGTTTAAATTCGGTACACTACTTCAACATAAATAGTTACATTTTTTGAGACCAACAAAACAAAAAACAATTGTCAAATAATCAAAATAGGGGGGTCCAGTACTCACTGACTCCCCCTATTTTTTAGTACGTGCGCCAATGACTTTCAAACAGTATTTTTTCAGGTAATCATTTATTGTTGAAAATTTTTTGTCTCTTATAAAATTTTGATGAAATGATTTGTTTTAGAGATAATTTGTAAAGTATGGGTCAGTCCATATCAAATTTTCGAAATTTAATTTTTTTTGGAAAAAATTTAGGTCATGTGATATATCATAAAAAATGTCTCTAATAGGCCTTTAAAATAAGCCATCACTCACCTTTCTACTTTTAATAGTTTACGAGATATCGCTATTTTTGTACTTGCAAGACCCAAATTTATCGGAATTTTTTCATTTTCAAAAATCAATAAAACAAAAACCACCTATCGTAAAAAATTCATATATGAGATTTTTGAGTTTTTTACTGAGGAAAACAAATTTACCAAAAATTATCAAAATCGGAGATGGTGGGGGAAGAACCTTTGGTTGATTTGATATGGACTGACCCATACTTTACAAATTATCTCTAAAACAAATCATTTTATCAAAATTTTATAAGAGAAATTTTTTTTAACAATAAATGATTACCTGAAAAAATACCGTTTGGAAGTCATTGGCGCACGTACTAAAAAATAGGGGGAGTCAGTGTGTACTGGACCCCCCCAATTTTGATTATTTGACAGATGTTTTTTGTTTTGTTGGTCTCAAAAAATGTAACTATTTATTTTGAAGTAGTGTACCGAATTTGAACTTAATATCTTATCAATTACTCGAATTATTAAAAAAAATCAGTTTTAAATTTCAAACTTTGTCGCCCTGTATATCGAACATGAAGCTCTAAATTGAAAAATGGTATTATGAAAGTCTTAGGGCCGGTTTTTCAATCGTTGGTTAAGTTTATCTTACGGTTAACTTTCTTAGATACTATTGTGTTAACAATAGTATCTAAGGAAATTAACCGTAAGATAAACTTAACCACCGATTGAAAAACCGGCCCTTATTGTTTTAACTCAAGGAATATATGGTTAACGGATTGACCTCCTTTTCCCGGACACCCTGTAGAATAAAATAATTATGCATTTTTAGTAAACATACAATAATTATTTACTTAAAATTTCTTCAGTTAGTATTTTGATCGAAATTTGCAAAATATCCGATTTTACCCGCTTCAAAATTCTACCCGCAAACATGACGAAAATACCCGACTGCGAGTAAAATACCCGCAAACGGCAACACTTGGTAAGTAGTGACACGAGAGTTATCTTGAAAACGCGGGAAGATGCCATCACATGACAGATCAGCTGTGCTCTAATTGTGTCTAAAAATTGTTTGGATCAATGGTTAGATGAATATTTTGCGTATATAAAAATAAACTATTAAAATAAAAGGTACAGTGGCAACAATAAAAGCAAGTCAGGCGCATCGAATGTAAAAAATTATAATTGTTATAATTGTTACACCTCACATATGTTATGATATAGGTAATTATGCAATAAATTTGGCTTATTACCACCCCGGCAAAATGTTTATAAATACTTTTCTTTGTGTTTTATTTTATAATAATCAAATACAACCTCTCTAAATAATTCCGGATATGTATTTTAATCGCTATAGTTAGGTTCCTACCATTTCTCTGCCAAAAGTCTTATAAAGTCTTATTAACTCTTCTAGAAGACTCCCAAATCTTGCTATTAGTCTGACTTACTAAGACTTATTCAGACTTTTTCCGACTTAAGTCTTATTCTGAGAAAGTAAGACTCTTATTTTTACTTATTAAAACTTTTTCAGAGAAAAACTTCCACAAGGGTACCAATAGGTAATTTACAATTGAATTCAATTGGGCATTCCGTGTTTATTATTGGTTATTCCCAATACTTTCCAATATGGAAAAGTCCAATTAGGATTCTACTGTTTTTTAGTGGTTTCGATTGGTTAAAGCTAACCATAGGTAATTTCCAATTGAATTCAATTGGGCATTCCCAGTGTGAGATTCTAAAAAGGAATCTGCTAATTGATTATTCCCAATACTTTAAAATATCGCAAGAGGGCTCTAGTGTAGCTGCGCAAAACCAACGTACGCAGTCCTTGTTCGAATGGTTGAGACGCCATCATAAAGAAACAAACAAGTCTTTGGACGCTATTTAATGTCTTTTTTTATTAGTCGGTTTCTTTTATGATCTATGGGTTTATGTGCTTAGTGGTAGCTGTGTACTTATAGTGGTGTGTACTTATACCTCAAAAAAATGTGTAAGGTTTAGGGACGATGGCGTGAGAATGGTGGTTACAGAGGACAAAATAAAAAAAAATTGACATAAATAATATTGATTTCTACCATGCCTACAAACATCCTTTGCAAGAAAGACAAAAAAATGATTATAACCGAGTAAGGTGAGGTGGGGTAATTGTGATGTAAAATTTGACTAGTGTAACTTTAAAGATCTATTAAAATTTGATTTTTATTGCAAATATTGTGTAAAAATTCCTGAATAATCCTTGGTCCTTCACCAAACGATATCTATAACCTAAACAATAAATCGATACAGGGGCTACCTGAAAATTATTATTATTTTTTTTTATGTCAATGTATCACATTTGCCCGAGATTTTGGGGCAAATGTGATAATGGACCGTTCCTTACTATAGGATTCCAATGGAGGTATCTTGTGGGGTAAATGTAAAAATCACAATTTTTCTGTAAATTTTGCTTTTTGAATCATTTAATTATTACAAAAAATAAGAAAGTTATTCTACAAAAACATAAAAAATTAAAAATATAACAAACTTAACACAGATTGTAGCCGTCAAACTTCAGTGGAAAAATGTACTAGCTCTAACAGGCTCAAGTAGATCAGGGATGTAAGTTTTGTCAGTGTAGTACTAAAGAAAGCAATTTTAATGTTTTTTTTTTTTAAATTTTACCATGTAATATCACATTTGACCCATTTTTACATTTACCCCACTCCACCATAATTTTATTTATTTTTTATTACTTTTTTGTGTTAGTAAGTTATGTTATGTTATATGTATTTTTTTATCTCTTCTGTGAAAAATGAATTCTGGTTTTTACCCGGTTATTTTTCTGGGATCTTAATTATTTTTGAATAAAAAATCAACTGGTATTTTTAATCAAAATTTAAAAAAATAAATTGGTACAAATTGGTTTGAATGGATTTGGCGCTATGAATTACCAATTAATTCCAGGTGCATTTCTATTGGATTTAGCCAATAGAGACAAGCATAGGCATTAGGGTGTTTCAAAAAAAGTAAGTAATTGGTTTGAAATGTGTTTTTGCGCTATGAATCACCAATTCATTCCAGTTGCGTTCCTATTGGTAAGTTCCAATGAAGTCAGCGGCTTGAATTGGAATATACCAATCCATGCCTATTAGGGTGTTTCAAAAAAACCTTTTTTTTGTTTTTTTTCTCGGAACCACGCTCAAAAGTTTCGTATAGATATAAAAATGAGCCTGTGAAAAAATGAGCTCTTAATTTCAAAATTAAGATGTTCCGCATCGCACTTTTAGATTTTCCATAAGAATAACATAGGAAAAATTATTTTTGTTTCTTTTTATTTTTGTAACTAAAGAACAATAGGTCGTACTTTAAAGTTCTTGACTTATTTTTGTAGAGAATTGAACGCTCTACAAAAAAGGTTTCTTATGATTTTTTGATAAATTTGATCCTTCTAAAGAAATTTAAGGTCAAAGTTCAAATTATACAAAATTTTTGGGTTATTTGGCGAGTCTGCCCGACTCATTTAAAAAATTTTGAAATATTTTTGTAGACAATTGAACGCTGTTTTTCCGAACTTCCAGAGCTCAAAAACAATATTTCGATTCGTTTTTAGCACTTTGAACTAAAAAATACAGAAAAAATCCGAGAAAACGACTAAATTGACGGTTAATTTCACTTTAACCTTGAATAACTTTTAACCAAGTTTACTTACCGAAAAATGACTCTAGACCTTTTTTGTAGAGCTTTCAATTCTCTACAAAAATATTTCAAATTTTTTTAAATGAGTCGGGTAGTTAAAAAACACAAAAATTTCGTATAATATGAACTTTGACCTTAAATTTGTTTAGAAGGATCAAATTTATCAAAAAATCATAAAAAACCTTTTTTGTAGAGCGTTCAATTCTCTACAAAAATATGTCAAGAACTTTATAGTACGACGATTGTTCGTTAGTTACAAAAATAAAAAGAAACAAAAATAATTTTTCCTATGTTATTCTTATGGAAAATCGAAAAGTGCGATGCGGAGCATCTTAATTTTGAAATTAAGAGCTCATTTTTTCACAGGCTCATTTTTATATATTTACGAAACTTTTGAGCGTGGTTCCGAGAAAAAAAACAAAAAAAAGGTTTTTTTGAAACACCCTAATAGGCATGGATTGGTATATTCCAATTCAAGCCGCTGACTTCATTGGAACTTACCAATAGGAACGCAACTGGAATGAATTGGTGATTCATAGCGCCAAAACAAATTTCAAACCAATTCAAACCAATGACTTATTTTTTATTGGATTCTATCGGTAATTTACAATAGGGACATGCGTTACTTGGCATCTAGAGTGAAAGAAATAATTGGAAGTAGGGATAGAACGATATCACTTTTTTTGCCGATACGATATATCGGCCGATACCGATATTTACGTGCCGATATACCGATATACCGATATATCGTATCGGCAAACATAATGCCATCTATTTATACACGACCGAAGCAAAAATCGGGGAAGTCCCGTTTTAATTTTGTTGCGAGGAAACGTTTGTGATTGGTAGTGAGTGACATTTCTGATTTCTGGGAAGCCCCGAATAGATACACTTAAATAAAACAAGTGCCAAACCCCGCCTACTGTGGTAGGGATTGAGAATTTATAGGTTTTATTTTTATCGAATTCGTTTGTTTTGTTTTAATGCATTTCTGCTAATAAAATAAAAAGTATTGTTTAAAATCCATTAAATTCCAGTTAATGGCGAAAATGTATTTCTTAAAAACTATACACATTTCCCTACGACAGTATTTCATTTATGCACTGAAGAGTGAAAAGCGCAATTTTTTTTTGCCGATACGATACGATACCGATAATCGGAAACAATTGCCGATATGCCGATATACAGATATCAATATCGGTATCGTTCTATCCCTAATTGGAAGGTGGCGGGACTAGAAGGTAACTTACGTAATTGGTGAGGCCGGTGAGCGTAACCCCGTTAGCTTCGATGAGGAGATCGCCGACGTAAAGAAGGCCGCACGTGGAGGCGGGCTGATGAGGAAACAGCCTCTTGATGCGGATCAGGCCGGGCCATGCCCCCGTGCTGTCCACCCCGCCGGTGACGCTCAGTCCCAGCCCTCTCGATCCCTTGGCCAGCTTCACGCCGAACGTGCTATCTGAGAACAATACGACTGCCATTAGTACACTGCCGGATTATTCCGATGCCCGGTAACGGCTGATTTTGGAGAATTCTTTAGTCGACTGCACAGGTTTGACCATTGTTATTTAAACAAAAGAGGTTTAACGATTGCTTATTCATTAAACAATACCCACCGTGCTGTTTGCATGACAATAGGCGCGGTATGTACAGGGTGTCAATTTGAAAACGTACCACCCTTAATATCTTACCTAAAATTAAAAATACAAAAATATGCTGCAAGGGCGACAGATTTTTCAATGATTGGGAAATAATTTTGATCTTAAGGTCAACATTCTGTATAGTATCAACGTGTATATTCTTTTTTGTATAGCACTTTTTAACATTGCAAAGTTTGCTTCAGTTTAAATATTATTAGTTTGTGTTTTAAAATACTGTTAATAATGTTCTACACACTTCAACAAAGAAATTAAATAATTTTAATTTACGGGGAATGTATTATTATTATTTTTATTAATTTAAATTATTTTGCAAGATGATATTTTCTACTTTCAACAAGATGGATCTGAACTGCAGTTGGGTTAAATGGTTAGGTAAATGGCAGGTTTCCATGCCGATGGATTGGACGCTGAGGAGCAATTAAATGGCCACCAAGATCTACTGATTTAACACGCTTAATTTTTTTTTTCATCTTTAATCATTACTTCACAGCAAACGGAAAAATATAGAACTGTATAGGATGACTCCCCGTTTGAATACTAAATCTTAAAGTTTTATCAGAACTGTATTGAATCGTGCTTTGTTTTTATATTTTTAGGCTCTATACCTATGCACGACTATATTTAAAGTCAAACTCAATGGTGTCTTACAAGATACATTATTTTGATTTTCTATATTCAACGGAGAGGTAGAATCTCGACCCAGTCGAATGGTGCAGTCATTTATGTCTCCAGAAATTGTTGAAAAAGGGTTCAGTCCAATGGTGCAGCAACTTCGGATTCCTATTCTCTTTAGAGACATAGAAACCCAAGCTTTTCGAATTTTACTGGCAATGATTTTCGTTAATGTCCCCGAAAATTATACAAAAACAGCGCAATGCAATATTGCAATGGTTTCGACTACTCTTTACCAAGTTATAGAAACTGGAACCTCTTTAATACTGTTATAGTCAATATTTCTGTGAGTATAAAAAGAGGGTGTAATTCAATATTGCAAGAAGTTTTGATCTTTTGATGGATGCAAGTAGTTTGAATATTCTCATTTCTGCAAATTATTTTTTCAATTCAATTACCAATGTGGCGCAAAAATAAATATCCAAACATGTCGGTGCACCAATGGCATAAAAAATCATGTAGTGATTTTTTATGCCCATACACCGATAGCATAAAAAATCATGTCGTGATTTTTTAGGCCATCGGTCAATCGCAAACAGTAATAGCATAAAAAATCACGACATGATTTTCATTTCTCACGCAGTGACATCCGGATGATGTCCGTATGAATAAAATTTGTGAAAATCACGACGTGATGTTCGTATGAATATCAAGAATGTTGTCCGGGTTCAATTAAAAGATATTTCAATGTTTAACAAAACGTTCACGTTTTGTTAAACATTGGAATATCTTTTTTAATTGAACCCGGACAACATTCGTGATATTCAAACAACGTTTTATATATTATAACGGTGTAATGTGAATAACAAACTAGGTTTTAAATTCGCAGTTCGCAGGGCTCATATGCATGCGCAAATTTTGCAAATATCACACCGTGAGTTCTACATGATATCACTGTGATGAAGCATGTGTATGCACTCAGGATATCACAGCGTGATAAAAAAAATCACTTGATATCATCATGACTTCACCAGGAAATCCAGATTGTTGTCCGGGTTGTTATTATTACATCTTATTGGCCATAAAAATTTGATCAATTCCCCAAATTTCACGTTTCTATCTTTAATGGTATTGGAGATATTAAATAAAAACCATCTTCAGGTGCTTTGTTTATAGGATTTTTTTTTGTTATTTTTGTATTATAGGACTATAATATTAAGTACTTAACCAGACCCCTTCCCAATTAAAAAATTAGGGGTTGTTTTTACCAATGCTAGGGGGTTGATTTAAATTATAATTTTTTTATAATTATTTGCCAACCATTGAAAAAGATGTTTCAGGATATTTTTGTATTTTGCATTTTAGCTGATATATTAAAGGTGGTAGTATTTAAATTAAGACCCTTTAGGTATACCTAAAAAACTTTTAATATAAAAAACAAAAAGATGTGCTTGTTTTAAAACAAAATTTGGCTTTAATTTATTAAAAATACATATTAGTAACAATTTTCTTTTAGAAACGGTTTTAATATTTCTTTTAGTTCCCCACTTTCATTCAAATTTTCTATTGTTTCAGCACCGCCGATTAAGATATTATTCACAAAAACTTGCGGTAATACTGCACATTTTGGGCAAATTTTCCGAAGCATTTCCCTTTTGATGCTTTCGCTTAAAGACACGTCCCGTTCCTCGTAATCAACCATAAGCGTCGTCAGAATTTTTTTCACTTTCAAACAGGCGCTGTACGTGTTTCTTAGTACACCTAACGATGTCGTGTATACCACAATTTTCCCTGGTTTTTTGTCAAATTTTCTTGTTTGTTTACGATTGTTTATAGTATTGTGATAGGTCGATGTTAGATACATCGCATTGAATACTAAAAATTTATTTTGAATGATTAGTTTTGTATGACATTGACAATTTTTAAAATTGGTTAGAACTAAAATATTTTAGTTCCCTTATACAAAATACAGACCTTGTTGTTCTATCTCGTTTCGGGCATACAGCTTATTTTTTTTATTAAATAATAAATTTGTTCCTGTCCTGTTCTTTTAGTAAGTTGGTAGCTTATGCCAGTTTGATTTAGTATTTCAAATTGACAGTAATATTTATTATTGATAATTTTCTTGTTAATTATTATATAATATCGATATAAAAAGATAACTATGCCAAAAATAATATCAGATTATAAAGTAAAAGAAATTTTAAAGGCAAAAAAAACAATAAATAATAGTTATTTATGTCATTAGGTTAAGAAGTAAGGCTTTTTGTGCTAAACTCAAGGTTTGAAGGCCGACGCGTAGCGGAGGTCTACAATTGAGCAAAGCACAAAAAGGCACTTTTTGGCCGAATGGCATACAACATTTTATCTTCAAAGCACTTTATTTAGGTCAATTTAATTCAACATCAACCTCACTTTTTAAGAATCTCATTTATTTATTAGCTAAAAAATACATTAAATGTACAATAATTATTATTGCTTTTAGAAGCAGTACCTAATAGTTTGACAATACCTAGCAACATGATTTAAGTAGAAATGGATTTTTGCTATTACATTGAATTCAATTAATTGTTTAATAAATAGGTAGGTATCTAATTTCAATTTGTTTGGATTTTTATTTAAAAAATAGGTAGTTTGGAATGTTTAAGCTGTGTTTAACATTTAATTTCACTGAAAACTTTAATTTAAATCGTAGAAAAAGAATCGTGCGTTTTCTTGGTTGCCTAACCTCACTTTTTGTTTTATTATTCATATTTAATTTTACAATAATTTAATGAAAAATATTAAACATTAACAGTAAAACAAACAAATTAGTGCTTATTATAAATAAATTAAACCCGTTTAGTACGTTAATTTCTTAGAAAAGGATTAATTTGTCAAAACAATACCCCTAGCGAGAAAAAATCGAACCAATTACTTGCCTCATAAAATTTTTTATAGGCCTAGGCCATAACAAGGTATTTGTTTATCGAATGTTGACAACAATAAAGTTTAAATTATAGACCGCGTGGAGATAAAATTTATTTGCTGTTGCTTTTTGTGAAAAATCTAGTAGTTAATTATCCTGTCATTGAAAATAGCATCCATTTGGTTTGAAAAAGATAAGCAATAATTACGAAACTTTTTTTTTCAATTTGTAAGATACTGATCATTAATAGGCCTGGGCAATATATACATTATAATTATTATTAAGCCACTACAAGTAGTGGCTTTAACAAAATACCCATTCACCATTGGAGTCCAATGATTGGGCAACATTCACGTGTGTTTACATAAAATTTAATTTATTTTATATTTTTATTTATTTATTTTACTCTATAGCTAGCAAAACAGTATACTGTACCAATTTTGAAGTACCTATAGGTACTTCAAAATTGGTACCGCTAAGTCTTTGTTAATTTGAGTTAATTCTTCCATTCTTCTATTACATTATTTAATCCTTTTTTTAATTAGAATTTATACCTTTCCATTCTAAAAAACTTTTAAATACCTATCTTCATTTTATTTTTTTAAACCATAAATTTTGATTAATATTTCTGACATTTAAGCATTTTTAAAGCGAGGATTATTATCCCCTAGGAATACTTTGTCTCTCCTGGGCCGTAGTCACCTATATTTAACTACTTTTTTATATGATTTTAATCTACACGAATTTTGACAACTCAACTTGACCATAGATAACAAAGCCTTGACAACCGTTCAATGTAACCTACAATAATTTAACCATAACCACCTTTACATTATAATTATAACTTTAGTTATAATGTAATTATAATATTGTTTAGCACAATCCACATAACAAGGTCTGTTCTATCTCGTACTAAAAAAAAATCACTGCTATTTTTTTTGTTTACAATTTTTGTGTTTTGATTTTGTGCTCTGTTTATCCTTTAGGCTGTTTATACAGATTAATAATCGTTTTAAACGTTGTGTTTCTCATAGTAAGCCTTAAGTGCTAAGAACAGCCATTTTACTCCTCTATTGTAAAAAATAAACTATTCTATCAGGGCTATCATAAAACTGTCAAATCTCAATTTTAAGGTTAAATTATAACCCACAAATTAACCTTCAAATTGTCATTTGACAGCCCTGATAGAATAAGGTATATTTATTATAAAAGAGGAGTAAAATGGTTGTCCTTAGCACTTAAAGGCCTTATTTGAGGCTTATAAGTGTCTCTGTAAGAAACACAACGTTTAAAACAATTATTAAACAGCACAAACCCAAAGCACAAGAATAATTCTTATTATTATTGTAAACAACAAAAATGGCTGCCGTTAAACTCTGTGCAGTGTTGCAGTGATTTTTAGTATTTTTAGCATGGATAGAACAGACCTTGTTGTGTGGATTGTGATAGTTTAGTTTGATTTAATCAATGCAACCAATTTTGGTTCCGTGTTTACCAACCAAAACCCTAAATTTACAACGTTGCCGCAGTTCAGATAAAAAAAGAACTTTACTAAAAATCACGAAGTTAGGCAACCAACTGTACAGACAGAAAAACAAAAATATATGTTTGGTTTAAAACAAAATTTGGCTTTAATTTATTAAAAATACATTTTAGTAACAATTTTCTTTTAGAAACTGTTTAAAATTTTAGTTCTAACCCTCCTTAAATTGTGGACAGCAGCTAATTTTGTTACATACTCGAAAGTATCTTTTATAAACATGTGAGTTTCATTTTGAAACTTTCAAAAACTAACCTGGCGTTATAAATGGATAGCAGGCGTGCGGTTCGAGATGTTGGTGGCACTGATTTTGGTGGTCGGGCAGTGGAGGCGGAAATTCCTCCTCCGGCGATCTCTCGGACCCGTATCCCTGATCGCAGAGTACTGTCTGATGATCTGTAAATTTCCAGTGCAATTGGGCTCCGCCATCACCCAGGCGGGGAATCCTATCGTCCTGGAAGAAAATAACAATAAATGTTGGGTGATTCTACGCGTAAAAATACAAGAAAAAGTATATAATATGTTGGAAATTGGGAACTTAAATGAAAAGAATTTTTATAAGAAATATTGCTTTATTAATAAATCTGTTACGTTCGAATATTCGCCGTATCGAGACCTTTTAAGACATACAAGCCAAATCTCACAAATAATTATTTATAAAGTGCAATTAATCTATAGTGTAACAACTACAGTGAGTAGAGACTACCCTACTGTCAAGGAAGTGATAAGTGACCTTTCCGGGCGGCCTAACCACTTGTCAATTGGACGCTCTTTACGAGACAAACAAAAGAGGATAACCCGGGATAACCAAGGGAGGAAAGGCCATCTGCAAAATCCGATAAGTAACCATAACCAACTGCATGACCTAACATATAATTTGCAACACTAACCACGACAGGTACCTTTAAAAACCCTAAGTGAGGCACTTTTCGCTTAAACACTAGAAAACAAAATAAAGTGTTTAAACTAAACGATACCAAAAATAAACATTTGAAACCAACGAACAATAAATTAAGAAAACATAAACACAGAAAAAAACACACCAACCGAATTTACAGTAGAAGTCAAAAAAATACGTCCCTAGGAACGTACGTCGAGATGCAATAAACGAATTAATCAGCCGTTACAAACAGGACAAGTCTATGCGTAATTAAACGACTTGCTCGTGGGCAAAACCATTACCAAACGGGTAAGGGTGAACCAACTAAAATACTGGCCCACGTCACCCGTAGGCACCGGAACAACATAGTACAATTCACCCTTAAACTAGACCTTCTAGACAAAAAAGTCGGGTGACCACGCTTCACGTTTCACGACACGTTAGCACTGAATATTCACTTCTCACAAATTAACAAGAACAGTTGGTAGCAACTAAGCACCAACAATACAAAGATATGGAAAACAACTCATGTTTATAACAGATTTCTGGTAATCCATATTATAAACACTCTGGGCAGTTGTTACCAACACGTTACGAATTAGAATAAAGTAAGCAGAAACATAAGTTGCAGACGCTAAAGTCAGTTGAACTTGTTGATGCGTATTGTCAGTGGGAAATGTTTTGATTGACTGCCTGAAATCACGCGTACTTTTTCAACGAAATAATTTGTTAAACATCTGTGTTTATTTGTGTCATTGTTAGTTGAGAGTCTCAATATCTTTGATAGTTATATGTTTATTAAAAATAGTTATCCATGATAACTATAACAAAAAAATAATATTAAAAATATAATAAAAAAGTCAAAAAAAATTCCTAATAGGTACATCATAAATGGGTCATTTTCAAGAAACACCCGCTTTCAGGAAAATGAAGATCAAAATATTTTTTTGCTTAAATTGACTTTTGGTTGGATTTTTATAAATGTTTACGTTTTTTTCAGAAAAATGTGTTTAGCTAGCTTTATATATCTCCACTGTGTTACCAATTTGAAATCCAAAATTTAATTAGGGTGGTAAGATTTTAGAGTAATGCATAAACAAAATCCCTTCCAGTGGTGCTCACTTGCAGAATAACAACTTAGATTTCTAAATTGTAGACACCCTTTTTCTTTGACTATAAGCTGGTGAAGGTCCTTTTAGTACTTTTATATTGCGTGGAATTTTTCCTTGGATGTAATCTATATCATGAGTTGTAATTACAAATAATTTTAAATTGGTTAATCATAAACTACTTTTAATAAAAGCGACGGTAAATATTCACTGTGTTGTCGAAAAATTCTATTGCGTTACCCTAAATTCCATTGCGTTACCATAAGGTTTTGTAAAACCATATTTAAAAATTAATAATAAGACATTACAGTCATTAAATACTCTCAATGAGCTTTAGTGCCCTAAAATAAGCATAAACATGAAAAATATTATTTTTTCTTATCTTATTTTTATTATTTTTTTTGAGTAACTTAGCGGACAAACAATTATTACATTCGCGTTACCCGCACCCAGCCCCGGATCTTGAATTTTTTTTAGGCGGGGCAAAAACTGAAAAATGCCGCCCCCGCCCACTTATATATATTTTTACCTTTATCATCTTTATAATTTCAGCTATATATATATATATATATATATATATATTAGGGTGTTTCATTTTTAGGCGATATTTTTTTTCTTTCTGTCCTACCTAAAAATCTGATAATTTATATATAAAAAAATATATTTCCGTTGGAAAAAAAATCTAAGTAAATTAGAGGCTTCACTCTTTCAAAAATTCGATTTCCCATATAAATTACACGGGAAAAAGTTTTTTTCAGCTTCAACTCAATTTTTTGGCGTTTAAATTTTTTTTTTGAAAAAATGAGTATGCAGCTTTTGTAGGGAATCAAATTTGCTACAAAAAAGTTCCCTTGAGCAAACGCTTTCCGACCAACAGTTTTTGAGTTGTAGAGCTGGAAAGGTAAATGTTAATGTTAATTAACAACAAATTTCCTTTAAATTGAAATTTATTGATAGGTAAAAATAAAGGCGTATGCAAACTTTTAAAGAACAAAATTGGAAAAAGTTTGTTGAATTTTGCCTGCCGGCCTCATATTTGTAAGCTGGTTTTACGTTGTGTTTTCCAAATATACTGGCCAACAACTTCAGGCCCAAATGTACCAATATTCAAGTTTCAACAGAAATGGCCAAGAATAAATAAAAATAATTATAAAACAAGATTGGATGACCACATGCATGCATGGTAGCCTCGATTATACGTGATAAAAAAGATGGTTTTCTGCATCGCCTCCGTGGTATAAAATAGAATTCTAATTCAATTTAAAGGAAATTTGTTGTTAATTAACACTAACATTTACCTTTCCAGCTCTACAACTCAAAAACTGTTGGTCGGAAAGCGTTTGCTCAAGGGAACTTTTTTGTAGCAAATTTGAAACGCCAAAAAATTGAGTTGAAGCCGAAAAAAAACTTTTTCCCGTGTAATTTATATGGCCAATGGGAAATCGAATTTTTGAAAGAGTGAAGCCTCTAATTTACTTAGAATTTTTTTTTCAACGGAAATATATTTTTTTATATATAAATTATCAGATTTTTAGGTAGGACAGAAAGAAAAAAAATATCGCCTAAAAATGAAACACCCTAATATATATATATAGTACTATAATCAGCTGTTGTGGTCAGATTTTCATAAAGTTTAAAATACACTTCGCGTCAAATTTAACGCACCACTAAAAAATTTCCACAATTTCAAAGTTGATTTTCTCGCGAACCGAAAAACCGAATTTAGTGATTTTTTTTATTAAATTGTAGGTTAATTCTTCGGTAATAATACGTTTATTGAAATATTTTTTTAAATTTACATTTTGAGTATATACAGGGTGCATTAGTGATAATAAGTTTTTCCCGGAAATTTGAAACGCCCTGTGGGTTGTACCAGCTTTAACAGCCTATGACTCATATAATTAAACTGTAGCCCTATATTTTCTTAACATTTTGGTTTTTGATTCACGTCGCTATCTATTCTGCTAGATATACGGTTAAAGACAAAATAACTCCAGTTTAATGTAAACTGTCATTTTCATTTAAGTTGTCTGCATAAAGTTATTGTAATGGAGCGCCAAGTGAGAAATTTGAATCGTCATGAATGTGTAAGAATTAGCAAGGATAAAGCTACCGTGCCATAGTTGATATGGCCACAGTAAAACAAGAGTGAAATTTCTGTACTTGTACTATTATTTATTCTGTGGTCAAAGTTAAGTAAATGATGAGTTGTCCATTCGTCATTCGTCTGTAAAGTGTGAATTTGGCCGCCCTCTGAACTTGCCGCCCGGGGCTTGGGCCCCGGCTTGCCCCCCCCTAGATCCGCCACTGCCCGCACCTGTTTCAACCGATATCTTCTTCCTGATTGAATAAATAAATCCAGCTGGGTAATGTGTACGTCCGAACATCATTTGTTGATCACGTGAGTGCCAAAAAAGTTGCCATATATATGTTTTTTTTAATATTCTATCGGTAACGCGACGGACGTAACGCAACGGAAAAAATGTCTCGGTCAAATTTAAAAAAAGTAGATTAAAATTAATTAATTTATATATAAATTGTTTACTGTATTAACTAAGGATGTTATGGATTGCTATAAAGCAACACAAAGTTCTGGTTATTCAATATTAAAAAAAAACATGTTTGTAAGTTTTATAAAACGCTAATGGGACATGCGAAAATGTGTGTTTTACAAGTTTCAAAATTAAAAAAAAATTATTCTGAAATAACTAAACAAACATTTTCTGAAAGAGTTTACTAAGGGCTTGTTAGGCTTTCACTTGGTTTTTAAATCAATAAGATCCGATATTTTTTAACAAAGTTACGGACAGCGGAAGGCGGATGTTTTTTGAAAACGACCCAAAAATAACCATAAATGACATATAAATGACATGTCACGTGTCACATAAATAAATGACCGTCATTTTACATCCCTAATTCCTTACCTCGTCGAGAGGAGGCCGATTGCAGTCGGCATGGTTGTTGTTGGTTCCGTTATCGTTGTTCTCGTCCAGGTAGCTGGGCAGGCTGCCGCACACCTTGCCTTCTTGATTCCGACCGCTGCCCGACTTTCCGCTGTAGATGCTTCCGCTCGATTGGGACCTGCGTCCCGACAGCCCCTTACTCGAGTGACGGCTCACGTTCGCGCCCATCTTTGCATTGTCGTTGGAAGAGAGGCGGCGCGCCAGCCGCACCGAGCCGCCGCCGCCTTCGACGCTGCCCTCCTTTCCCGCCGCCCTTTTGGCGTCGGCGACGTTGTTGTTGTTGCTGCTTTGATGCCCCACTCCGCTGCTGGATCCCTTCTCTAGGTAACCTGAAGTGAAAAATATGTCAAAATAATGTCATCGACCCTCAAATTATAGTTATTTATAACAATAGTTATTTATGTATCAAGGCAGTAAAGTCGTATTTTTTATCACGAATGTGGAAATTATTATATAAATAACCACGTGAGTGATAAAAAATGACTTTAGTGCCGAGGTGCATATTAAATTTTATCAGAAATCACATTTGATGATCAAATCAAATAAATGTCATTTGAATGTAGGAAGTGTCTGCGTATACTGTTTGTTGCGACGGTTAATAATATTTGGCCGCCGCGGCGATTTTTTAATCATATATTATATCACGAGAACTATGAATTTAATCGGTTAAACTAGGCTCAGTAGTTTTTTGTTTGGTTTTTGTTGGAAAATGGTGAATGCAAAATAATTTAATAAAATCACGAGAGCATGAAACTATTTTCCAAAAAGAATAATCAAATAAAAAACTTACTAAGCATAGTTTGACAGATTAAATTTATAGTGTTATAAGTCTAGATTATTTCTCGAATTAAAGGAAACTATTTGACAATTCATAAAATCTGACGTATGTGTCAAAATTTATAAATATTTTTTTAAAGAAAATTCCATTAATTTAAGGTATGTAATAATTGATATTTCGCAAACTAGATACCTAACTTATTTTTTATTGTTTTTTAAAAAATGTTTGTTAAAACTTGTAAATAACACCATAAAATCGTAAACAAAAATCCCATATTGGAGGCTAAAATTTAATCGTAAGTAATATCAGGGCATATCAAGGGCATCTAATTTTTCCGGAAAAAATCGAAAAAACACGTTGCTAAGTAATATTTTAACAAGAAGCATGAGTGCTGTTGGCAACAAAAATCCGAGTCGAAGAGGAGGAATTTTGCACCTGCACGAATGCTTTTTGTTAAAAAATATTACTTAGCATTGTGTTTTTTCGATTTTTTTCACAGGAAAAATTAGATGCCCGATTGGTATTTGACAAGACTATTTCATGAGTAACAGTTAACAATTAAAATAAAAATTGCAATTTTTGATGACAACAGCTGTCAAGTTTTGCCGCGGGTAAACTCGAAAAACTGCTGTCACGCAGTTTTTTCACCTAGAAACCATTTGTAATTCAAAATTGCGCGTTTGTGATTGGTGGGAATTAAGACGAGGGAAATAGTCGTAAGTAATATCATAAGGGCATTTAATTTTTCCGAAAAGAATCGAAAAAACACGTTGCTAAGTGATATTTTAACAAAAAGCATGAGTGCTGGTGGCAACAAAAATCAGAGTCGAAGAGGAGGATTTTTGCACCTGCACGAATGCTTTTTGTTAAAAAATATTACTTAGCATTGTGTTTTTTCGATTTTTTTCACAGGGAAAATTAGATGCCCGAATGGTATTTGACAAGACTATTTCATGAGTAACAGTTAACAATTAAAATATAAATTGCAATTTTTGGTGACAACAGCTGTCAAGTTTTGCCGCGGGTAAACTCGAATAAACTGCTGACAGGTGCTGTCACACAGTTTTTTCACCTAGAAACCATTTGTAATTCAAAATTGTGAGTTTGTGATTGGTGGAAATTAAGACGAGGGAAATAGTCGCTGTTAAATAGTTCTAGTGATTTAATCGCTTATCTAAACGGAATTTATTCGAAAATTCAAGGCTTTTGATTGGTTCATATTATAATGAGGGAAATAATCTAATTAATAAAATTAACTTATTATTTTTATTAAACAACATTTTATGAAAGGGTCCATTCGACATCCGCGACGGTGCTTTTTTTTAAAATATTATTTAGTTGCTGCTGAGGAGCAGTATACACATCTTAAAATGTACAATGGGTTGCATACAATACTCGTATTAAATCGGCAGTAAAGTTCTACTTTACTGCCGATTGTTGACTACTTTACTGCCGATATCGGATAAACATTATTTTGATATCACTTTCCTGATATATCAGAAAATTGATATCAACATTATATCAAATTGCATACATCCAATCAAGGTTGTGACGCGGTCAAAATTGGACAAAAATGGACAAAATCGGACAAAATCAAATTTAATTCTATTTTATTAAATTTGTTGGTTTATTTTTTATTACCTACTACTAGAGATGTAAAAAAACCGTTTTTTTCAAATGTGAAAAAAAACATGAAAAAACCTAGAATGTAATATATTACATTTTTTTATAATGAAAATTTTGACAGAGACTAAAAAATCTGATTTCTTATTATTTGGTAGTTTCCACATAAGAAACCAATAGCAATGTAAAACTTCTACACTAATAGAAAAAATTAAAGGATAAAAAAATACAAATTTTTTGCAATTTTTCGGATAGCTGTATCTTCGTTAAAAATAGTAGTATTGGAGCCGTGAAAAAAGCAATTTGAAGCTTGAAGTTTCTAGTTTTGAGATTTTTAGATGAAAAACGTGCAAGGCTCAATTCTAACGCAATGAAAAAAATTCGAAATTTTTTTGGCTTTCTTTTTTGGTCTACGGAATGTTCTGACTTAACCACTACAAGAATTTGCTATTGTTTTATTAGTTCAAGAACTGGACTGGAAAAATTAGGCAAATAATAAAATATGAAAAAAACAAAAAAAACGGACCGTTTCTCTACCTACTACAGTGGCGGCTGGTGGATTTTGCGTATACCGATATCTTGGTTATTAGAAATGGGACCCACACCAAATGTATGAGTTTATAAACTTTATAATGACACTAAAATAACAAGTTTTGCGCAAGCAGAATTAAAATAAAATTTTGTGAAAAAAAGATTTTTGCTGCAGCTCCCCTGCAGCCTGACCCCCCAATAAAGATAATACAAATTTTAGTGGTGCAATTTATACTTTACCATAGAGAAATTTCAAAATTTATTAAAAAATCCAAATATTACAGTTTTATCATTTTAAATTTGTATTATTTTTCCTAAATGGTGTTTCCATTGTAACGGGTAGATACTGACAATGCGTTTTTTCATGATAATAAAGTGTTTGTTCATATATATCAAGATACGTTAATATACAAAAATAGTATAGAAAATTAGATATTAGATAATGTCAATGAAAACTTTTATAGAAAATCTTTTATAACGTCATAAATCGCGAAGTGTCATAACGGGCGCGACCTTAGAAAATCGGCAAATGCGACCAAGTGGGCTTCTAAAGTTGATACTGTAAAATTTTGGATGAAAGCATATAGTAATAATTTTTTGTGTAAAACTTGATAAACTTTATTTTCTAAAATTTTCTCAAAATGTAACGGGTGCGAAATTTGAACATTTTTTGTCCTTAAAATTATATACCATGTTGCACTTACAATTACAATAGTTACAGAAAACAAAAATAATGTGCCATTTTTGAGACAACCTGTATAATTATAATGTTAACACTGATATTTTTTATTTAAATATTACTAAGCAAAATACAATATTTTCCTTTTCGTTTTTAAGTTTAAAGGTTTTTTTTTTATTATAATTTTAATACCTTTACTTTAATATTAATTATAATAAGTATCTAAAACTTTTATTAATAATGAGGGGAATCAAGGTTTTATTTTAAACGCTTTAAAATCCTTCAATTTATAAATACAAAAACATTTATTATAGTTAAAATCCACTGTACATGGAATTTAAACCGTATAAATTTAGGAAACTATTTGATCAAACTACCTTGAAAAGAAATCATGATAAAAAATGTTTTATTATGAATCGCTCAACCAAATCCATAAAAAATTGGCCTCTTCAGCTGTATAATGCATAAAGTATACAGTGGTTAAGCCAAAAAATGCTTGTAATATCTGGTAAATTAAAATAATAATAGTTCTACCGCCTAAAGTTGTCTATATGGGAAACTTTTATTTTTAATTTTACTTCTAATGATAATTTATAAAATGGCCAGAAGGAAACTTTTTTACTATTAATTTTATGAAAACTATTAAAACTATTAAAACTTTAAATTTCATGTACAGGGTTTGAGTAGGATAATTTATAAATGGCCCAGGAGAGAACTTTTTTATTATTAATTTTACGAAAAAAGGTAGGTACTATTTATAAAAAGTTATTCTTCCTAAAAAAATAATACTGGAATGGAATGTACAGTGTACATTATACACCCTGGTCATAAAGTAGAATAATTTATAAAATTCCCAAAATTAAACTTTTTTATTATTAATTTTATAAAAAAATTTACTGTTTATAAAAATTTTTACTTCCTGATAAAATAATAATGGACTATTGAAACTTGAAATGGCCCCTGTACATAAAGTAGGGTAATTTATAAATTGTCCAAGATAGAACTTTTTTGTTATTAATTTTACAAAAACAAACAAAGATGCAAAAAGTTTAGCTCAAAACAGCAACACAAAAAATATATTCAACTTTAAAAATATTATGAGCAATATTTATAGACGAATAAAATTGATTTGTATAAAAGTGACTGATGGCTCATTGGTTATGACATACGCTTGACAGGGTCAAAGATTTTTTAAATTTAAATGTACTAATTTGACTATTTCATTTAGTTGAATTTGACTAATTATTAGTGACTGCTTTTTCGCTATGATAATTGGTCAAATATGGGCTATAATTAGTTATTTTTGACTAATTCATTTTCAGAGAGTGGACTATTAAAACGTAAAATAACATGTTATTTTAGAGAAAATTAAAATATAAAGAATTTACTTATAAATAAAAGTTAGGTATATCTAAGTTTATATTTTTTGCCCCCTATTTAAAAAATCTAAAATTAAGTATTGTCATTTTGGAAATATAAAGATTTTTTGAATAAGAGTCAATGATTTTAAATTTAGCTGTAAAACAAAAATTAATTCTCTCTTGGGCCAATTATATATTTTCATACTTTATGACCACTCTGTATATGTTATTTTAAGTTTTCATATGTAAACAATAGTTTTAACAGTAATTAGTAGATGGGATTTTTGTTTGCAAAATTAATAAAAATAGCTTCACCTAGGTACCTAAATAGGTAAAGTTTTATCTTGTGTTAGGTGA